TCCCAGGCCAGCGCTCAATCCACTCAGCCACACCAGCTAGTGCTGCCTTTGTCCTTTTTGATATGAAGGTCATATTAGCTTCAGAATACAAACTGGGTAACTTTGCCTCTTGTCCTATTTTCTGACAGTTTATAAAAGATAAGAACAATCTGTTTCATAAAGATTTACTTGAACTTTATAAATAGTCTGAGCCTGATAGCTGCTTGTGGAAGGGAGAGGTATATTTTCAATTACTGATTTTAACTTCATTAATCACACTATTCAAGATTTTAATTTACTGTTTATTCAGTGTTTAGTATATTTTTCTTAAAAAGTAGTCAATCTCATCTGTTACTTTGTCATTGTCAAATGTATTGGCATAAAATTCCTCATAAAAATTAACCTCTACTATATTTATAGTTATATCCTCATCTTTGTATTTTTAATATTATTTGTACCTTCTTTTTCCTCAATACATTTTTTGGGTGACTCATCATTTTATTAGTCTTTTCAAAGAATCACATTTTTATTTAAGCCCGTTGTTGTTTCTTTGCTTTCTTTCATTAATTCCTACACTTAGCACTGTTATTTTCTTCTAGTTTCTTTAGGCTGCGTAAGTTAAATACTTAGCTCACTCGTTTCAATCTCTTTTTCCATATTTACATATACAGTTCAGCCTATGAATCAATCTCTTTAGTATTCCCTTAACCAGCATTCAGAAGGTTTGATTCTGAAGGGGTTTCTTCTGTTTGGTTTCTGTAGAAGTTTATTTTCCATGACCATTTCTTCTATGACCCATGAATTATTTGTAAATATTTTTAAATTTCTAAACATGACAATGTTTTATCTTTTGATTTATAATTACATCACACTGTGCATTGTATGACTGACTGGTATTTGCTACAGCTTACTTTGTGACTTGGTATGTGGTGAAATTTCATTAATATTCTGTGTATTAAAAATGTACATAGTCCTGGCTGGTGTGGCTCAATGGGCTGAGTGCCAGCCTGTGAACCAAAGGTCACTGGTTGAATTACCAGTTAGGACACATCCCTGGGATGCTGGCCAGGTCCCCAGTTGGGGGTGTGTGAGAGGTAACTGATCATTATTTCTCTCCCTCTTTCTCCTTCTCTACCACTCTCTCTCTAAAAATAAAGAATATGGAGTGGGACAAAAGTACACTTATAGTTTTGAATACGTTAAAGTCTTTATTCTTATATTATTAATTAATTATTGTATTATTTTACATACAAACTGTAAACTCCTTTTCCCCCATTATGCACAACCTATCAGTTGCAGGGTTTCATAAATGTCCATTAGCTCAAGCCTATTAATTCTTTTATTCAAACCTTCCTTCTTTATTAATGATCTACTTGATATGTTAATTATCAAAAGGCTTATTAAAATATTAACATTAGGGCTGTCCATTTATCATTATGTCAATTTTTTTATATATTTGAAGTTATGTTATATGTAGACAAACTCATGACATTCACCTTTTCCCAGAAATACTTAAATCTTCCTGGTGAATTCTCATTCCTAGTGAATAAATCTCTTAATTCTTCATAATGGTTTTTGCCTTATTCTAAGTTTTCTTAAGATTAATGTATATAATCAATATACATATAGATTTGATTCTTTATATTATAATGTTTTAGACCGATTACTCATAAAGAACAATATCCAGTCATATCTCAGTACTCATCATACTCATCAACTTCAGAACTCACCAAATCCTGTACCTGTGCATTTTTTCAAACATTCTATTTATTTATTTTTAGATGGAGGGGAAGGGAGGGAGAAAGAGAGGAAAAGAAACATCCTCTTCCCCTCTCGTGAGGGGTGGTTGCCTCTCCCTCGCCCCTCACCAGGGAGCTGGCCTGCAACCCAGGCATGTGCCCTGACTGGGAATTGAACTGATGAGTCTTTGGTTTTCAGGCGGGTACTTGATCCACTGAGCCACACCAGCCATGGCTACTTAAACATTTTGATGAGAAAAAAAAATGTTTCGGCACATGGTGCTTGCTTGGGACTCTGCTCAGGATTGATCGCACTTGCTTGGGCTTGTATGTCTCATAATGCCATAATTATGAGGGCTGCTGCCCTCCTACCGCCAAGAGAAAATACTTCATCATTTGTTGATTGTTCGGTACTCATTGGTTTAGGCACTCATCACAAGGTCCAGAACAAATTAACGACAAGTACCAAGGTACCACTGTAATTATTCGCTTGCTGCCTTAAAAAAAATAAAATCACCCCACCCTATGGTCTCCATCTTTTCTCTGGTAAATTTAGTCTCTTTGCATTTATTTTAATAATTGACATAGTTGAAATTATTTCCATCAGCTTATTTTGGCTTTAATATTATGCTATTTCACTTTTTTTAGTTCTCCTTAAAATTTTAACAGAACTACAATATTATTGCTCTTTCTACATGAAAGCACCTCAAAAAGCTTTAACTCAGGTCACTGCCCCTTCTGTCATATGTGCTGTTTTCTAGTAAAGTATTTAATTCTGTGCATTTATTGTTTTATAAAAGATCAGGTTGTCCAGGTCTGTCTACATGTCTACCAATTTCTTTGCTATCTTTGTGTCTTGCATCCTCTTCTACATCCTGGGTTCAATTTCCTCCTATAAGTACAAATGCCTTTAGTAATTCTTTCAGTAGTAGTCTATGAGCAGTAAACTCTCTTTATCTCCATTAGAAAATACATTTATTTTTCCTTTATTTCAAAAATGAGTTTTCTTGCTGTGGCTGGTATGGCCCAGTGGATTGAGCGCCCACCTGTGAACCGAAAGGTCACCAGTTGATTCCCAGGCAGGGCACATGCCAGGGTTGAGGTCAGATCCCCACTTGGGGGTGTGCAAGAGGCAGCTGATGGATTTCTCTCTCCCTCCTTTCCCCTCTTTCTAAAAGTAAATAAATAAAATCCTTAAAATGACAGTTTTCAGAATTATTTTATTTTTCCTTTGCACTTTGAGGATAGTACTCTATTGGATTTTCTGTCTCTATTCATGCTCTTGATATATCTGCTAAACTGACTAATTGCTGCTCAGTTACAAATGACTTATCTTCTCTCTGTGGTTCCTTTATTACTCTCTTCATATATAACGAGTAATCTCACAAGAATGTAATGAATTGTCTGTTTTTTTCTACTTATAGACTATTTAGTATTTCTAGGCACAGCCACAAAGAAGGAAAAAAAGTAACTTGAGATTATTTTGTTAATTCCCCTAAAGTTTGTTCAGAGCTAATACTAAACAATATGTAGACTTCCGCCAAGATGGAGGTTTAGGTGGATGTGCCGTGCCTCCTCACACAACCAAGTTTAGGGACAACTAAATATTAGCATCAGAAAACACAACCAGAACACGGAAAACTGAACTTTTCGGAAGTCCGCTAACAACAAATTCTTCAGCCCGACCGGAAGGGGCGAAACCGGCGTCTGGTGAGGAGGTACAAAGGAGGGCTCGGTCGGACCCGGGCGCGGAATCCAGACGCGCGAATCCAGTCGCACGGGTTCCAAACCCAGGATTGGACCTAGTAAGCAACCGAGCAACCCACCGGGTGAGCGACTACAGAGGAGACAGTGGGGAGGCGGTGGCAGCGAGTTGACTGTGGTTGCCTGGTTGCGCGCGAGTGAGGGAGTGGGCGGCGGCGGCGCCACCATTTCCCCGCTCTGACCACGCCCCCACATACAGCGTCACAACCCAGCGACCCGGGACTCCAAGGCGCCGCTTCTCCCACTTAAAGGGCCAGAACAGACCAAAAATGTCGCAGGGAGAACTCAAAGCCCCAGAGATAAATCTAAGTGACGAAGAAATAGCAAAACTCTCAGACGCACAGTTTAAAACACTGGTCATCAGCTTCCTCACAGATCTGGTGGATTATAGCCACAAATTAGAGAAACATATGAAGGCTAAATTAAGGGAAATGAATGGAATTCCACAGGAAACCCATAGAGATGAAAAAAAACTGGGACTCAAATCAATGGAGTGGACCAGAAGGAAGAAAAAAATGATCAAACAGAAAGGATGAAGAAATAAGAATTCAGAAAAATGAGGAGAAGCTTAGGAACCTCCAGGACATCTTTAAACGCTCCAATATCCGAATTATAGGGGTACCAGAAGGGGGAAAGACACAACCACCAGTGGAAAAACTATTTGAACAAATAATAAAAGAAAATTTCCCCAATCTGGCAAAGGAAATAGACTTCCAAGAAATCCAAGAAGCCCAGAGAGTATCAAAAAGTTGGACTCAAGAAGAAACACACCAAGGCATATCATAATTACATTAGCCAAAATTAAAATGAAGGAAAGAATCCTGGAAGCAGCAAGAGCTAAGGGGACAATCACCTACAAAGGAGTCCCCATCAGGCTAGACAATCTCTAGGAGAATGTACATTTATATTCTAAGAATCTCTATGTCTGTTTTCATCTAGATTTTCAAAGAAACCAGAGATTCAATGGGAGTAAATGATACCTAGTTTTATTTTCACATTTCTTCACAAAATAACTCAAAAGCATCAAAGCAAGGATTATGTCCCTCTGAGGTCTAAAATATGCAACAGCAATACAACCAGCAGAAGAACACTGAAGGGGTAATCAAATCTAACTGTTTAAACGTCCTCATAAAAAAAATGACTCTCATTTTATTTCCTGTATGAGTCTATTTGGTTTATCTGTTTAGTTAAAACACAGATGTGCATGTTACAATTATGCCAAGATTCCCCTCTTTATTAAAACACCCATTAATTCAGAAAAATTCCTTCATAACAGTATATACCACACAAAGAGAACAGTGAGTGACTCTTTCCAGGGACAGAGAATGGGAGTGTGAGGAGCTAAGGCCTTTCACTTACTATTTTTCAAATGTTTCAGGATCACCTTTTTAAAAATATGTTATATATTACTTTAGCAACCTGAAAATATATAATGAAGTATTTAAAAAGTCATATTCTATGGTATGTTGTTTAAGAAAACAGTTTAATTATGAAACTATTTCAATACATTATTCTTACCAGATTTAAGACCTGAAATTTTGAAGATGGCACTTGGTTTCCCATTCGTGAGAAATCCTAGGAGTTGCCATACTGGCATTCCATTTGAATCAGGATAGGAAAAGTAGACAGATCCTCCCATTCCCTCAGGAAATGGGACTGTTCCCAGCATAAAAACCACAACGTGGTTGATATTTTCATAATCAGGCAAGTCAAAAACAAATTTATCTTCTGCCACTTGCTGTGCAACTGTTTGCACCTAGAAAATAAGAAACTTGTCTCAGTGCAATAGTTTGATGAGTTTTTATAACCCTTATAGTATTGATATAAGCTGTTACCAAGCAGTCAATTATAGTCATTATACCAAGTAAAACTTGGGATTAATATGAGACTCTAATTATAGAATTACCAAATATATCAGAGAGAATGCTAATATTAATAGTGAATCCTATGAAAACATGGTATATAAAGTACAGCAAAGGGCATATAGTCTATAATATTCTAATAACTATATATGCTATCCTATGTTGTACATCTAAAACTAATATAATATTGTATGTCAACTGTAATTGAAAACTTAGAAATATTTTTAAAAATAAGGAATCAAAAAATACTTGGCATTAAAAATAATTTCATTAATGTAATCTTTTAAAAATGTAACTAAATATCTCGGAAGTCCCTTGGAAGGATTCTACCTATAAAAGTAAATCACTACAGCTTCAAAATGTTATAAAAATGAAAGATTGTTCACCCTGGCCAGATGGCTCAGTTGGCTGGAGCATCATCCCACACACCAAAAGGTTGAAGTTCCATTGATTCCTGGTCAGGGAACATAACTAGGTTGCAAGTTCAACCCCTGGTCTGTTGGGGTGGTCAGGCCTATAGGAGACAACTGATCCATGTTCTCTCTCTCTCTCCCTCCTCTCTCTCTCTCTAAAACCAAGAAATACATCCGCAGGGGGGATTTTTTTTTAAATAATAAATTTTTAATGAAAGTTTATTAAAAATATACTACTAAGCTGTGATCCTCTAATTTGAAGGTAAAGAACCTCAGGTAATTAAAATGGGTAAGCAACCCAGAGGTATTTACTCAATCTTCATTATTTGGAGATTCCACACTTGCTTATTTGCCTACTCACTAAAATATATTTATAACCCCAAAACCATTACTTGTTGCACTTTTAAAGCTGCAAAAAATTTGAGTTGCCTGATGGACATGTTCCCAGCTGAGGAACAAAACTATATTGTGCCTTCTGGTTTCAGCGTTCATACTGTAAACAAATGTCCTTTTCACAGTCGATTTAGTGCCATGTTTGTTTGCATTTTTGTTGGTGACTTGACTTGACTGTTTTAAATGGCCAGGCTGAAATAATGCTTCTAAACCCAACAAGACTGGTAGGTGCCTTACTGAGAAAATAAGTGTTACATAAGTTTCATTCAGACATGAGTTATAGTGCTACTGGCAGAGTCCAATGTTAACAAATCAATAATACATATTAGATAAGATGTCTTTAAACACAAACACATAAAACAAAACTGATAAAATTGAGACCAGATGCTTGCAGGACCCTAACCCTGTATTTCCCCTAAGGGCAATAATTCAGTATTTACCCATTTAGTGCTCACACAAACTTTACAGAGCAAAACTATTCCAAATAACAAAAACAAACTGTATATAAAATATAAAAATTCTACCTTGAATGTGCTAACTGGGTATTTTTAAAGTTTACTCAAATCATTTGCTAATCTATTTTTCTGCCCTAGAATTGAACATCAATTTATAGAATGATATCGTATTTTGTTTTGAAGTCTAAGAAATCTTTCACAAATTCATTTTTACAAAAAATTTAAGAAAATTGCTAATTCCTATAAACATCCAGCAAAAAGAAGTATCAATTTGAGTGCACTATGGTCAACAGGCTAAGAGTTTACCTTCCCTGAGGTTTTTAGCTTTTTAATTGCTATTGCCTTTCTAGTCACCAATATACTGCTATAATATTGTACATATGTGTCAATGATAAATATCAATTGCCCTAAATTTATTCCCAAGAGACCAAGGATGAGTGTTCTTAAAGTCAAGCTTTGGTTCCCTCTTCTAAGTTTTCCGACACAATTAAAACCCTCTGGTTTAAATACAGAGAAACACAGGACGAACGTTAAGTATAAACCAAACTGCCTGTATCAGTATTAAATTCAATTTCACCAGGTTGTGACATGCACATATTAAAAGGCGTATGAAATTATGATACAAGTCCTAAAATAATTTGGCAAAGTAAATATTTCTTAAATGTCAACTCTGTATAAGGTACCAGACATTCTGTTAAGTCTGGATTACAACACTCTAATCATCAACCTTAAGCAAACAGGTGGTATGTATCTCTTGCCATAGCCCAATAATTCAGTTGGTTAGAGCACCATCCCCACATATCAAGGTTGTGGGTTCAATCCCTGGTCAGGACACATATAAGAAGCTATCAATGAATGCATAAGTAAGTGAAACAACAAATTGGTGCTTCTCTCCCCACTCCAAAATCAGTTTTTAAAAAAAATTTTTTTTAAAAACCCTGGCTGGCATGGCTCAGTGGATTTGAGTGCTAGTATCTGAACTTAAAAGCTGCCAGTTCAATTTCCAGTCAGAGCACATGCCTGAGTTGTGAGTCAGTCCCTGATTGGGGTATATGCAAGAGGCAGCCAACCAATGTATCTCTCCCATTCTTCCTCCCTTCCCCCTCTCTAAAAATAAACAAATAAATAAAGGAAAAGGAGAAACTTAGGCCCCTCCTTTTTACTTCTATGTATAGGGCAGGGCAAACTTTGAAAAAAATACAGAAAGGGTATCTCTTTTATTTCAAAATTTTTTTCAAGGAAGGAACACTTAGATAAGTGAATTTTTGTAACAAAAGAATAACATAACTGATAACATAACTAACGTAACGCAGGTATTGCTGCATTTATTTGCCCTACATTTGAACATGTTCTAATACTCCAGAATTATAGTTTACAATCCCCCAAAAACCTTAAAATAACTTCTACTGGATATTCATTACAGAAATATTAGGTAAATAAACAGGTATTGCTATAACAAAAACTTCCAAATTAGTTGACATGAAAGATACATGGACATACGGCCTTTTAATTCTTTTAAGAAAACACACATTTTTTTAAAAGTCATTCACTAATGACACTAATTCTTCCAAGTCTCACACTCATCTCTGGCTGGTCCTTTCTTTTTTTTTTTTAATCAAAGCAAGGACAATCCAAAGTTGTCTCACTAGTATTACCATATTTTGCTGTGAATTATGGGCTCCCATGCATAGTGTGCACCCACCTTTTTGGCCCAAACTTTCAGGGAAAAAAAACCCTTTCGTTTTAATTTTTTTATTAAATTACCTATTTACTTATGTTTATAAACAAAACCAACTGTCGTATTCCAGGGTATTATTTTGCATGAGGATGTTGCTATTGCTTTCTAGAGTTACACTTTTAACCCATAAGCATAAACAAAAGAATTAAAAACATTTATATAGATACGGAATTAGTACTACCCACGTATAACGTCCATCCTTATTTTCCATCAAAAGCTTGGGCCCCCCAAAAAGTGTACTTTGCATCATACACTGCAAAATACGGTACCAATTATCACCATCACCAAAAGAAACACCCAATCACTAAAGAGACAAAAAAACTTTCTGAGGCCAGTCATCTCCAATCTATCTTTGTGATTCCTTATAACCATATGCAGAATACATTATCAAAAACGTATGAAAATCTTAACATTTAACAAAGCAGGGTGACGAGAGTAAGAAAAAGAACTCCAGGTGCAAGGAGTGCGGTTTGAAATGAATCTCTAGGTGATTCAAGCAAAATACCGTACACCTTCCAGATTATTCCTGAAAAATTCCCGGTACTAGTCTTACTGAATTCTAATACCCCAGCAAGTGACGCTTTAATCGACGCTACAGCCTCGATTAAAATTCCAAATTTACCTCTAATTCACTCTATGAGCTTAGGCGAGGGCTTATACTGCCGACTGGGCTTCAATTTCTCAGCTGCAAAATGGATCGAATAATAACCACCTCACAAATTGTGAGGGTTAAATTTGGGTTGCCAAATAAGCACTAGATAGAAGGCTAAAATGACGAGACTGGACAAAAGGCGTGCATTCCCCACTCGATAAACGGCAGCTAATATGTGACTACTCAAATGACCAAGCCGGGGGTCAAAACAATGAACACTCAGCGTCCACTCGCCACTCCACACTAAGCCGGAAAGTAGACCTGGGGGGTTGTCTCCGCACCACTGGGTCCCGAGCACCTTCCCCTTCCTGGAGCCTCGCCCTTGGTGTCCTGCCCCCTGCCTGGTATCACCCGGCCCCATCCTCACCAGCCTCCCCGCCACCAAGCAGCCAAACATGGCGGCGGCGTCTGCTCCGCTCAGCCGGCGGGTACCGAAGCCAGGGACTAGAAGTCCTGGGACTACTACACTACCGGAGCCCAAAGACCTTCCAAACGAGCAGGAGAGCGCAAGCCAAGCCGCTACAGAGGATCCATGCCAGCGGCAGGAACGCCTTCTAGCCCTGACTACTGATCCACCCTGCCCAACCAGCGCGCTTCTCAGGCATCAAGTACTTCCGGGGCTTACACCTGGCTGCCCCAGTTAGAAGAGAATGGCTGGCCGGCACCAAGGCAAGACTACATGTCCCAGAGGGCCCTGCGCGGGCTTCCGGGGAGGCCCCCAGGAGGTTTTTACCCATCGGAGTTGACCGTCCAGATTCCAAATTTCGTAATATAATACCGATGGGAGGTGTTTCTCGCAGTGCGGTTTACAATCATCTCTTTACTAGAGCCTTACAAAAACCTTTTAAAGTAGGCATTATTATCTCCATTTTGTAGGCGAGGAAATTGCCCAGAATGACCAGTCCCAAATCTTCACACAGCACTTAAGTATTGGAGCCCGAATCCCAGTCCCGACCCAAAATCGTATTTTTTTCTGCTATGCAATAACTCAGCTCTAATTGTTAACCAGCTGTTTTGTACTTATTGATAACTTCTGTAGTTCTTTCCAGCTTCCCCCAGTTCTCCTACTTATTTATAGTAAAACTTTAAGCAAGGTAAATATTTAGGCTTTAAATGTCCCCATTTGTAAAATAAGATTACTTGTGCCTCTCCGGGATTGCTGTGAGGATTAAATGAATTAACATATACACAAAACACTTAAAATAGAGCCTGGCAGGGCTTAATTAATAGGAGTTTTATTGTAAAAAGTTTTTTTTTTATATGCATTTTCAGAAAATGCTCATAAAAAGTAAAAAACAATAGCCAAAACAACTGGCATCAAGTACTGATGACAGGTTAATGGGGCTGACCCCTTAACCTGTGATATCCCATGCTGTCTCCAGGTAGATAGTGTTTGAACTGAATTAAATTATAGAACATCCAGCTGGTATCACAGAATCATGAGTACTGATTGCCACCAGTACTCATTCTCCCTTTCAAAGCATAATTCTCTTTTCTCTTATATAGCAGGCAGGATATTGCCTTTGGGAGGGTCTGCCCAACTTGAAATATCTGAGCTTAGTCTACCAGCCATCAGCATGTCTGTCCTCCCAGCCCCGGTTATATGGGGAAGGTCAGTGTTTAGAACAGTCCTCTGGCCTCCGTTCTGGCTCTGTAAACTTTGACCACCTACCTTATTTCAGATACTCCTTTGAGGTAGCCAAGCCAAAGATGAATAGATACAAAAGGTTCTTTCCACCCATGACTCCAACTTTCTACTTAAGAAGTCCCAGAACCAGGGGAGTAGGTAGAGATAGATGGAAGAGGCTATGGGTGGGGGATAAATGGTGATGGGAAAAAAATTAAATTAACTAATTCAAAATAATGAAGTCCCAAACCAGAATAAAAAGGTTATTTGGGATGAGACCATTTCATGAGGAACAAACTGCCTGGATTCAGAACTCATTTATTATTTAACATTTATTAGCTATGTAATCTTAGACTAGTTAACCTAATACTTCATGCCTTCATTTCCCCATCTGTAAAATGCTATAATAATAGTATCTGCATCTAAGGCTGTTAGGAAGGTTTTACATGTAAAGTCAAAATGGTAGCCAGAATATAACTTAATAAAGCATTAGCATTTAGTATTATTACCTTTCCTGACTAATTTTCCAGGTCTTCATACCCACCTTGTACCCTACGAAATAATAAATAAATAAATAAATACAACCCTCACTGGTGTAGGTCAGTTGGTTGGGTGTTGTCCTGCAAAAGCAAAAGGTCGCTGATTCTATTCCTGGACAGGATACATGCCTAGGTTTGGGGTTTGGTACTGGTCAGGGTACGTGTGGAAGGCAGCCAATTGATGTTTCTCTCCCTCACTCTCTCCCTTCTGCCTCTCTCTTAAAAAAGAAAAAGAAAGAAAAGAGAAAAGAACTCTGTCCCTGTTTCTAACACAGGGCTCCTGAACTACTTGTAAATTCCCAATGATAAGAGCACTAGGAGCATCTTTTGTTCTAATAATGTGACTCTGGGTGGTGTCCTGAATAGATCCCACATGGAGCCTCGTCACCAAAAGACCAAGCCATAATTAAAAGATTAGAATTTTCAGCACCACCCCACATTGTCCAGAGAGGGGGAAGGGGCTGGAAATAGCGTTAATTAATCGTGCTTATATAAGGAAGCCTCCATAAAATCCCAGCAATATGGAGTTTGTACAGATTCCAGTCTGGTGAACATATCCATGAACCAGAAGGGTGATGCCCCCCAAATTCCAAATGGACAGAAGCCCCTGCCCTTGGGCCCCTGGCAGACCTTGCCCTGTGTATCTTTTCTTCATCCAGCTAATCATCTGCATTCTTTATCATAACCTTAAATAAACTGGTAAATGTGTTTCCCTGAGCTCTATGAGTTGTTCTAATAAATAATTGAATTCACACAGGACAAGGTCACAGGAACCACCAATTTGTAGCTCTGTTGGATAGAAGTTGTGGATAACCTGGGGACCTACTACTCGCACTTGACATCTGAGGTGGGGGCAGTCCAATGGGACTGACCCCTTAACCTGTGATATCCCATACTGTCTCCAGGTAGATAGTGTTTGAACTGAATTAAATTACAGAACATCTAGCTGGCACCACAGAATTGCTTGGTATGGGAAATCCCCCTCCCTCACATCTGGTGTCACAAGTATTGTGAATGTGGCAGTAGTGAGAGTAAAGTAGAAGCACGGATGAAGACAAGGGTTTTTTTTTTTTTCCTTTATATATCCTAAACATATTGATTTTCTAAGCAACACATACTTTTCAACCTTTCTCTGCTTGTGCAACTTGTTTCATCTACCTGTAATATTCACTTGGCAATTTCTTACACATCCATGCAATTGGTTCAAATGTTTCCTTCAGGAAGCTTTCAATGACCTGATAATTAGTCATTCCTTCTCTTATACAGCAATCTTATTTAATAGATTGAGAGCTGACTAGCCTAGAATCTTTTTTTATAAACTACAGTTGCTGTTTATTAATTGTCCAATCTTTGTTATGTGAGATTTGAGTTTTTCCCTCCATTTTGCTGGTGAACTGGCTAATTCTAGGGCAATGAGTTTAGTATCCTAAAGAGGGCAGAACTAGATACAATGTATGAAAGCAAAGAAAAATGTTTCAAGGGGAAAAAATCTTTTCAATAATCAGAGCTCTTTGAAATAAGAATAGACAAACATGGAATAGTGAATTCTCTCATTCCCATTTACATTTTAACCACTGCTAAGGAGATGCATGGAGAACTTGGAGGTGGGAGGGAAGGAAATGGCCTAGTACTTCAAAGTTACCTGCCAGCTCTCAAATAATATGCTTTTATGGAGAAAGAACAAATTATAGTTCAATTTTGGCCAGGGAATCAAGTGCTGAACTTGTTTTAGCTCTTTCATTAACTAGCCTAGAGATGAAAAAAAATTATATCATTTTGAGTATTAGGTCTCCACACTTCTAGAAAGAAGGCATTGAATTCTGATTTCAAGAGTGCAAAAATATTTCTTCTCTTCTTCTAGGGTAAATTTTTCTTTCCAAAAGTAGGAGAAGAAAAAATAGAAGCACAAACTCCATCTTCTTTGACTAGGAGATATTTATAACTCCAAGTCTCAAAGATAACAATGGAAAGTGGATGGAGAAAAAAAATAACAGCACAGCATATGAAGTTTGAACTCAGGTACCTATGCAGAAAGAAAGTAAATATTAGAGAAGCTCAGGAATTGGAGATACCAGGAGCCAAAAAGGCAGATGCATGTCAATAGACTGAAAACAGATTGATTGCTTAAAATCTATGTAAGATTTTATATCTGTCCCTCATCCACACCTCGCCCATTGGCATGAAATCTCCGGGAGAAAAATATGAACAGGAGAGGCCCCAGGTACTGGAAAAAGATCATGGGGCAATACCATCATATACAAATTAGGTCCAGGATGTGAGCCACCCAGGAGAGAGGAGCACTTGGCTCACCAAGTCAAATACACAGATGTGACACTGTATCTACCTGAAGGGAGAATGGCTTTTTCTAAAACTTCCACTTAGAGGTGGAATATGGCTTTTTCTATATCATCCATGCAAAGAGGGCCATATTTCACTAACTTATTCATAAGAGAGTAACTTTTTAAGAATCATGTAAAAATTAAAAAAAAAACCAAAACAAAAAAAACACCACATTTTCATGACCAAAAAGCATTTAATAAACTAGAAATAGCCTGAAGCTTTCTTAACCTTTTAAAGAGTACCTACAAAAATCTCACAACTAACATTATACTTAATAGCATAAGACTAGATGCTTTCCTCCTAAGATCAGGAATAAAACAAAGATGCCTACTGTAGCCACTTCTATTTTATATTATTCTGGAGCTTCCAGTCAAAGCAATTAGGCAAGAAAAGGAAATAAAAGGTATCCAGATGTGAAATTAAGAAGTAAAACTACCTATTTGTGACATAATCTTTTATATAGAAAATCCTGCCCTGGATGGTGTGGTTCAGCGAACTGAGTGCCAACCTGTATACCAGAGGATTGCCAGTTCCATTCCTGGTCAAGGCACGCAGTTGGGGGCACACAAGAGGCAAACACACATTGATGTTTTTCTCCCTCTCTTCCTCCCTCCACCATCCCTCTCTAAAAATAAATACATAAAAATGAAAAAAAAAAAGAAAATCCTAAGGGATCCAGTAAAAAAATAAATTAGAACTAACGAAGAAGTTCA